ATTAAACAGAAAACTTCCTCTTAGGTTCCAGAGGCTTACCTGTCAAGTTCTGCGCATCTGCAGGATGAAGACCTGTGTTTTGTTACTGAACACCTGCATATAACTGAAAGCTCAAGCTCTGGATGACTTTAATTTGTTGTTGGAGCAAACCACTCCCCTGTAACATCCCTCGTTTGTTGGGATTTCCCCTCTGGGAGATAGAGGAAGACAGGTTGTGCTAGACTTTAAAAAAACTGATCCTGCGTGGGTGTTATGAAATGCGTGATAAGGGAGAATGGGATGACAGAAGGATAACGTCCTTATTCTGAAACAAAGAACAGACAGACAGATTTTTACTACAAATTTCTGCTCAGCTTTTTAATACATATTTTTTAAAATCTGCCTTTTTGTTGGTTCTTTGCCTGCTTCGACTACACTTGATCTGATCCACTTCAAATTTGGCAGCTTTGAAGTGGATGAGATGACTTGTTTAGATGAGCATTTGTCATATTTGTCATACATATAGCATTTGAGTTTTTGAATGTTTCCCATGTGGTGACTGTGCTCTACTCCACTGTGTGGAGAGTATACCTCACCTCTACGTTTAACCATCACCGACAGGTACTGAACTTACCCAAAATGAGTCCTTTAATCCCGAAACCAACTCAAACATGCCTTTGAAGGAATGTGGAAAAAATGAGAGCCTGCCAAAAAAATGTGACCTATGTCTGCACTTGTAGGTTTTATTGTTTTTACTAGGCTAGGTTGCTGAGGTACGCAGGCTGGAAGAATTGTGTAAGGCTCATTTGTTGATTAATGTTGTCAAAACAGCATGTCTTGAATGACCCAGGCCCCGTAAAAGGTGTTTCACTTCCTGGTCAGTCTGTGCAAATTGTTAATAGCTTTCAATATCTGGAAACATATATTGATTCCATTTACAAGTAAGCTAATCAGAGATTAGGGTGTTAAGAGGCTTTGGCGTTAGCCACAATGTTTTTGGAAAGAGTTTGTTAGCTTGATTGAAAGTGTCCTTATATCCAACATCTCAATGTGGTAATCAGGGGCAAACTGAAGAGGGTTGTAAGAACTGGAGGGAAAAAAATGATGAAGCTGTGTCATCAGGCTGTCTTAAGGAAAAGCCCGGTCTCTTGTAGCTGTCCGTTAATTAATGCCCTTAGGACAACATGATTGCATGCCTCTAGCTAGCAAAAAGGTGTAGGAAGGGATCGTTTGTGCCAAAAACAATTAGTAAGCTGACTATAATAATATAAAATACACA